AAAAATGCTGGTCACCATCTGAGCTTTCCATTAGTTATAATCAATCACCATAACAAATATAATAAAAATAAGAAAAGTTTGAAATATTGTGAGATATATCAAAATGTGACAGAGACAGGAAGTAAGCAAATGCTGTTGGGAAAGTGGCACTGATAAGCTTGCTTACACAGGAATGCCACAGACCTTCAATTTGTAAAAAACACAATATCTGGGAAGCACAATAAAGCAAGTCACAGTGAGACAAGGTGTGCTTATATGTAGCATGGTAGAAGATGATAAGTGGAATGGAAAGTAAACAGAGAAGTAAAGAGGGTCAGCCATGTGGTGTTGTGCAGTTTCAATGGAATGATCGGGTAGGGTTCACTGGACTTGAGAAGTGAGCTGGATAAATAAAAGAAAGTCATCATTCTCTTCTTAGAATCCAAGTTGTAGTGGTAGGATTATGGTAGGTAGTAGAGGAGAATCCATGTGCTGGATTTGTATTTTGGGGTCGGTATGGCGGGGTTAGATTAGATAAATGGGCGTGAGGTCATGTTCTGGCTCACCACTTATAATGTGTGTGGCCTGGAACTATAAAAACACACTCTTTTGCTCTCCTTGTAGGTTCTTGGGCATTCTTTGGAGATTCAGACTTACTACTCTGAAAATCTATAAAGACCCCAGCATTTAGGCTACCTTCTCCGTATGAACTGTGTTTCAGACTAATTGAATAGTTGAGAAAAGTTCTTTATAGAAGAATTCTAACTTACTGCAAATGCCTATGGAATGCTGAAATTATAAAATCAACATTGTGCAACCCTTAATGAAGTAATGGCAGTAATCAATAGACACTAAAACCTTAAAAGGATTAATGGGAGAACTTTTCATTATAAAGAGTTGATTAGATTGTCAGAGTCTGCATAGCAGATCAGGTTTAACAGCACAGAGATTAGGTACTTCCTGCTTTGATGCAAGGGTGACTGTATTTGCCATTAGGTTATTTTTGCCAAAACAAATAAATAAATTTGAATGGGTTCCTTAAGCTTCTGCATTAACCAGTTTAAAGCAAATACGAGTGTTAGAGGAACAAGTTAAGATACTGTGAAGACACATCAGTCAAATCCAGACTGTTGAACATTTCACAGACAAATGGCCCAACTTCTTAAAAAAATAAATAGCATTAGAAAGGGGATGGATCTGGGAAGATTGAGAGAGTATTAAAGATTCAAGAAATATAACAAGCAAATGCATTGTGTGGGCCCTGTATGGATCCTGTTTTATTTGTATTTTTATTTCTTGAAGATTTTATTTATATGAGAGAGAGAGGGAAGGGGGCAGAGGGAGAAGGAGAGAAGCTCAAGCAGACTCCCTGCTGAGCCCAAAGCCCAATGCAGGGCTCGATCTCACAACCTTGAGACCATGACCTAATCCTAATAGAATTGTGATTATGTAAAAATTAAAATGTCCATTGCATTAGATGGTGCATACTAAAGTATATATAGGTGAAATGGCATGTGTCTTAGATTTAGTTTAAAATATTCTAGGTTCATGCATGTGTATACACATGATGAGCACACACACAAGTGAGGAGAGATAGAAGAAAAAAGATTGCCAAAATGTTACTTGTTGAAGCGAGGTAATAAGTTTATGGTGCTATATCTTACAATTATTATCTCTTTTTTGTACATGTTTTTTTTTTAATTTTTATTTATTTATGATAGTCACAGAGAGAGAGAGAGAGAGGCAGAGACACAGGCAGAGGGAAAAGCAGGCTCCATGCACCGGGAGCCTGATGTGGGATTCGATCCCGGGTCTCCAGGATCGCGCCCTGGGCCAAAGGCAGGCGCCAAACCGTTGCGCCACCCAGGGATCCCTTTTTTGTACATGTTTAAAATTTTCCATGATAAGTTTTAAAAAGATATTAATTATAGTATGGAAAATAAAAAGGTGGAAAGCATGTCTGGAAGCATGTACTTCTCTGTTATCCTAATGAAAACTAAAGGAAAAAGTACAACTGTAGATTACTCAAATGGTGAGCACTCATTTGATAAGTATGCTCAGATTTTCTTTGTAAAGGAGTAATAGACTTTGAAGTATGTTATTCTTTTGGCTAAATTTTAGGTTTTTCTTTTTAAAGGAAGCAAAAGATAGCCTACATAAATATTTCACTGTTGGTATGGATCTCATAACTGTTTGATCTCATGTATTCTTATGAAATTTGAGTATATAAAGATATATTTGACAATTGCCTTATAAAGTAGGCTGTGTTATCAATGTCTATTAAAAGATTCCCTTTTTAATATTTTCTGGTAGCACAACCAATCAGAAGCTCTGGGCTGTGGAACTGCAGAAGACCATCTCCAGAGACAACAAGTATGTGCTGCTGGCTTCTGAGCAGCTGGTGGGCGTCTGCCTGTTTGTTTTTATCAGACCACAGCATGCTCCTTTCATCAGGTCAGTAAACACTGCACTCTTGGAAGGCTACATCCTACTATCATGTAACAAGAAAAAGACCTGGAATGTTTGTTGCTTCAGAGAAAACACTCTTGAATCTTGGTTTTAAATGTGTTTTCAATTAAAGAGTCATTAATAGTTTTACCATACTGTTGCACAGCCTTGTCCTCAAACTGTTTTATATTTATGTCATAGACATTCCTAATTTCTTATGTGCACAGAAATACTGGAAGTTCTGATCTTTGATTTAGAGTCCTTTGTTTTAAAGGGATGTTGCAGTTGATACTGTGAAGACTGGAATGGGAGGTGCCACTGGAAATAAGGGAGCAGTTGCAATCCGAATGCTATTCCATACAACAAGCCTCTGCTTCGTCTGTAGCCACTTTGCTGCAGGGCAATCACAAGTCAAAGAAAGAAATGAAGATTTTGTAGAAATTGCACGGAAGTTGAGTTTTCCAATGGTAAGCTCTTACTGATTGTTCTTGAAGATGAAACTTTTTTTTTTATTTTTTAAAGATTTTATTTATTTATTCATGAGAGGCATAGGGAGAGGGAGAAGTAGGCTCCTTGAGGGGAGCCCGACATGGGACGTGATCCCAGGACCCCAGAATCACACCTTGAGCCAAAGGCAGATGCTCAACCACTGAGCCATCCAGGTTCCCTGAAGATGAAGCTTTGAAATGCACTTTAATTTATCCCTAATTCTCTATCAGTTTTTAAAAATTTAAGATAGTTCTTAGAAACATCAACAGTGGTCACGTAAATAGATGTTTCATGTGTTATTAGTCTCGGGGCAAATAAATAGGGCCTGGCCAGAGGAAGGCAAGCATATCTGAAGCAAAGAAATAGTTGTAAAACATTTTTTAGATTGACTTTTTTGAACCTAAAATCCCTTCTCCTTGCCTTCAGGGAAGGATGCTGTTTTCCCATGACTACGTATTTTGGTGTGGTGATTTCAACTATCGGATTGATCTCCCTAATGAAGAAGTTAAAGAGCTCATAAGACAGCAAAATTGGGATTCTCTTATAGCAGGAGATCAGCTTATCAATCAAAAAAATGCTGGACAGGTACATACATATTTAAGAAGATTCTTGCGTTGAGAAGAAGGGGACGTTTATTACGAGACATGCTTTCCTTAATCATAGTGTCCTCCCCACCTTTTTAAAATTCTCTTGGAGTTTTTCTTTTCTCTTTTTTCTTTTCTCTTCTTTTCTTTTCTCTTCTTTTCCTTCCTCTTCTTTTCTTTTCTTTCTTTCAGAGGGGGAGAAAAGGTGGAGGGCACAGGGAAAGGGAGAGAGAGAATCCCAAGCCCTGGGTGTGGAGCCCTACAGTGGGGCTCAATCTCACAACCCTGAAATCATAATCTGAGCCAAAATCAAGAGTTAGATGCTTCACCGACCAAGCCACCCAGGTGTCCCTCTTGGAGTCTCTTCATACTTAAATACATGTCTCTAGTTTAACATACACTGAATTACCTTTCCTTAAAGAATAAAAAAAGAAAAGAAAAAAGACTCATATTTCCCAGGAGGAAAAAATGGTAAGCCTCTGTAACATTCACCTTCAAATAGAAGAGTATACATTTTTGGTTCTTTCTTTTTTCAATAGTAGTGAATTTAGAATCTTAGTCTTTAGAGCCAGTTTTTTGCCTTTAAGATCCCGTGAAAATCTACTTTATTCTTTTGTTTCTAATATCATCTAAAGATTTCCAAAACCTGTTTTTTAAAACTTACAGCCACAAAATTTTAGAAGGTTAAAATAATTTTTTTTTTTTTTTTAAATAAGAGGTAATTGAGGCCACTTGAAATGGTTCCTTTCTGATCTTGTGATTTAAATTCTAACACTTTGGGCCCCACTTAACTTTTTAGGCTTTACTTCCTCATTTGAGAATTAGATGTCAGACTATATGATTTCTAAAAATCCACTATAGTTTTAATTGTCTCTTAGAACTCAAAGGCCTGATAGAATTCCCTTATTCTACATTTTTGTACTTTGTTTAATCAAAGGTCAAACAAGTGGCATGAACAAGTCCTAGGTTTTTTTTTTTTTTTTAACCTTTGTTCCATTCAGTTAGAAGTGTTTATCTAATGGACACAAATTTTGTGTGAATCTCCACCGCATAATAAACATTTAATGAATGGCTGTCTGAATGAAAACAGAACTTTTTTTTTTCAAATAATTTACTTTGCGTATGTTTGTTTTAGATTTTTAGAGGATTTTTAGAAGGAAAAGTGACCTTTGCTCCGACATACAAATATGACTTGTTTTCTGACGACTATGACACCAGTGAAAAGTGCCGCACCCCTGCTTGGACAGACCGTGTCCTCTGGAGAAGAAGGAAGTGGCCTTTTGACAGATCAGGTTCGGACATGAACTTCCTCATTTAAATTTGCTAATGCGAATTTTAGGAGGAAGAAGGGAGTGATATAAATGTTAAGGGAGGAGGGCTGCTTTTTTTCAACAAAGGTTTCTAGAATAGAAGAGATAAAATATAAAACAATTTTTAAAATATTCTCAGACTTGTTTATAAAAATTTAATTTTTTAGTCTATTTTCTTTCAGTGACAAATTCATATAAAAAGAAACAAGGAAACAATTTTCTGAAATTTTTATGAAAATCTCAATGGAGTGCTAATAAAGGTTTTTAATTTGAATAGCAGCAATAATAGCACCTCGGATAAACCTCATTGGCTACGATACTGCCACTGCGCAAAGCTAATTTGAATAACTAATATGGTTCATAAATATAATGAACTGCCATTTGTTGAATTGCTTATGAAACACTATATGGTCACAGGCGTTTAATCTCAGAAGTAAAGCCTTAATTTTTACTAAGTAAAGCATACAGTGATAATTTAACCAAAACACCTCTCTAAGTTAAAGGTATCTAGACTTCCTGCTGACTAACAAGTGTATCAGGCATCCCAGCCTTGGGTGACTGAGGCCAATAAAGCAAAGCAGCTAGCTCCTTGCTCCCCATGATCTGTCATGCTCATGTAGCTTCTCTTGTGTGTGTGTGTGTGTGTGTGTACTTTTTATTTCTGACTACAGCTGAAGATTTAGATCTTCTAAATGCTAGTTTTCAAGATGGAAGCAAAATCCTGTACACATGGACTCCTGGCACTTTGCTGCACTATGGAAGAGCTGAGCTGAAGACTTCTGACCATAGGTTTAAAGTCTTGGTACTTCTAATGGTGCTTGAAATTTATTTGAAATACATCCTTTCTTAAACATTTCTAACACACTCATCTTCCTTTATGCCTCAAGGCCTGTCGTTGCCCTGATTGATATAGATATATTTGAAGTTGAAGCTGAAGAGAGGCAAAACATTTATAAAGAAGTAATCGCAGTTCAGGGCCCACCAGATGGTACAGTATTGGTCTCAATCAAAAGTTCTGTCCAAGAAAATAATTTTTTCGATGATGCTTTGATTGATGAGCTTCTGCAGCAGTTTACAAATTTTGGTGAAGTTATCCTCATAAGGTGAGTAAAATATTTAGTGTCCAAAAGCAGCTCATGACTCATAAGTATTTTTCTGTGTCAGAAATTACCTTTTTATTGTTTGAATAGCATAGGAGTATAGTAGATCCTTGAATAGTGTGGGATTTGGGGGCACTGACCACCCCCAGGCAGCCAAAAATCCACTTAGAAGTTTGACTCCCCCAAAACTAAGAGTCTACTATTGATCGGAAGCCTTACTAGTAAGGTAAACAGTCAGTTAACATATTTTATATGTTATATGTCATATATCCTAATAATAAATAAAGTAAGTTAGGGGAAAGAAAATGTTATTAAAATCATAAGGAGGAGAGCAAACACAGTACTGTATGTATCGGGAAAAATCCACATAAGCAGACATGTGCAGTTCAAACCTGTGTTGTTCAAGGGTCAACTGTATTTTTATTTCCAAACTACAGGAATATCATACTATAGAAATGTTATTCAAAGGATTCATAGGTTTTGAAACTAAATTGTGGTTAGAAAGCTTTGCAATTGAGTAACAAAAGTTTGTGTGAACAATTGATGACAAAAACGTATGCATTTAGATATGGTATCTTAAGACTCCCATACAATCTAATGTATAACACAACCCCATGGCAAAAATGGAGCTACGATCACTGTTTTATTTTCGTTAGGAGAGCTAGGAGTAAAGCAGAGTGACTTTTCCTCCCTCAGTTTAAGAAATCTGATGTTTTAAGAAATTTTAAGTACATTTAATTTCCAGCTAACAAAAAAACAGCACCACAGGAGGAATAGTCAGGAGTCATCCATTCCAGTCTTCATTTCCAGCTTGACTTAACCATCTGCCTTTTGCAGAACCAGATGCTTCTTTCCTTGTTTAAAAAAATGTTCTCTTCCAAGTGTTCAGCAGTTTTTGAGAGACTGAATGACATGTATGTGTTTGAATTTCATGGGGAAGAGGTTTGATTTCTTTCTGTGCTTTTCATCTACTCATTTAGGTATGTTTTATAGATATTTGGATGATAGATCTCTGTATTAGGTGCTGTGGAAGAGCAGAGGAGAATTGAAGACTATTCTTGCTTATAATCTAGTTGGGAAGACCAGAATTGTGTAATGGCTTCCCTAGATCTTAAACAAAGTACTCCACAGACTGAGGATGGTGTGCTTTCTGTAGAGCAGGAAGAATGCCTAAGAAACCTAGAGCCCTTTCAGAGAGTAAAGGAGCAAATAGAGAAGAAATTGCATTTATATGTCCCTCAAAACTTTTTAACAAAGATCCATCCCAGAGCTTTAAAATAAAACAAAAATTTCTAAAATCCTAAGGTACTAGGAAGTACGTAGTAAAATCTCCAAGTTTACAGATGAAAGTAAGCTTTGCCAAGTACAGAAAGCCAAATTACCAGGAGCGCCATGTGGGCAGCATTGTAGCAGGCAAGTGTCCTCATGAGCAAACGTAAAAGAATCCAAGGTGTACATAAAGGATGAAAGACTCTGATAAAGAAAAACCTCTTTATAACCTAGTCTCAAAGGAACTTGGTATTAAATTTGGAGTCAAAAGTTTTCTCCAAAGTACTTGTCATCATTAGAAAAAATATTGGTAACAAAACAAGGTATTACCCTAACATTATAAAACTATGCATTTCCTCCACACATGGAATATTCTCATTGTTATACCTGTGGACAACCAACTTAGAATAGAAAGAGCAGACATGGAAGTAAACAAGGAGAGGACTACTGTCACCAGTAAAGCTAGGCTGACCATTATCTTTTGGTCTAGAATAAAACAACCATTCAGGAGTGACCAAAGTCTGTAAACCCATTTATTTGTAAATAAGAGATTCCCTGGAAATGTAAACAGGGCAAATTTAGATACTTTTATTAATTGAGAGAAAAATCTAGAAGCTTTTACCCTAGTAGTAGAAAACAGGAAGAAAACACAGCTTCTGAAAAGATCTACATAAGCCCATGGTTATTAGAACCAGAATCATGGGGGCACCTGGGTGGTTCAGTCAGTTAAGCATCTGCCTTTAGCTCTGGTCCTGATATCAGGGTCCTGGGACCAAGCCCCATGTTGGGCTCCCTGCTCATCAGGGAGCCTGCTTCTCCCTCTTCCACTCTCCTTCCCCCTACTCGCATTTGCTTGCTCTCTCTCTCTCTCAAATAAATGAAATCTTTGGGAAAAAAAAGGAACTAGAATCTCTTGCTAAAGTTAAAAATGCATAAGGAGCACATTGCTAATTAAGGATATGATCAAGAAATGAGCCTTGCCATATGACCACAAATGCTTTGGTTCTACTACCAAAGAACAAACACTGTGGACCCCCCTTTATCCATGGTTTACAACAAACTAAGGCATGGTTTCAGTTACGTGAGGTCATCTGTGATCTGGAAGCAGATGATCCTCCCTCTGAGGTAGGGTCAGAAGGTCAGTAATAGCCTGCTGTTATTCCATAATGCCTATGTCATTCCCTTCACTTGATCTGTCATGTAGGCATTTCATCATCTCACATCATCACAAGAAGGGTGAGTACAATCCAATAAGATATTTTGAGAGAGACCACATTCATATAACACTTATTACGGTATATTGTCATAATTGTTCTATTTAATATTATTGCAAAGCCCTTGCTGTGCCTGATTTATAAACTGAACTTTATTGTAAGTATGTATGTAGAGAAAACATAGTATAGACAGGGTTTGGTACAATCTGCAGTTTCAGGCATCCACTGGGGTTCTTGGAATGTATCCCCCATGGATAGAAGGAGAGCTGTTGTAATGTTTGAGGTTGGGGGACTGGTGAGCATAAGTGCAACTTTATGGTAGTGAGAGTATAACCTTTGGAGGAGGGATCTTCTCCATTGGGAACATGGAGGTATTCAGGTATTCAGATGGGAATGATGTCCCTGTGTCTTTCAAATGATGGCATCCTGTAGCTTAGTAACTTTATGCCAAAGAAATTAAGTCACTTATCTTGGTCATATTTGGGTGATTGTAGAATCTGTTCCAGCCCTCTGATTTAGACAGGATAACGTACTTATTCATATTTCTGCTTTTTAGCCTCTTCCTCTTGATACACATCAGCCATACATTTGAATCCTAGGTTAAGTGTGTGTATGTACACGTGTACATATTTACCCCTTTGAAAAATCTGCAGGGATTTCTGGTCTTGATTTGTATAATTGGGGGTCGTTCAATGTGTAAAATTGTTTCTATGAATAAGACTGATACTACTCTTGTTTTCCTCTTTTTTTAAAACTATAACATTATTACATGTCAGTGATCATCTTATTCAGAACTTGTTTAGTGTCCTTTTTATTTTTTCTTTTGGGGTTTCTTATTTCAAAATTACAAACTTAGAATCATAGCAAAGGCCACTGAAGTCCCAAGAGAGTAAATGGCTGTCAATGAATAAAGGCAAGGACCACAACAAACTAAGGCAGCTCAGGGCCAGTCAGATTTAAACATTCTAATGACAACTCCCTATCTTATTTCTTGATCAACGGAAATTTGCTTCAGGGAAGTCATCGAGACTGTGAAAATATATAGTTCTGGACTACAGGGACAAGGGACTTGGATTCTAGCCCTGTAACTCATTATCCTTCTAGAGTCACTTTGAACAAGCCACTTAGAACCTCTGGCCCTTTTTTCCCTTGTCAGTGAAGTGAAGGATTAGATTAGCATGGATCACAAATGGGAGGTCCACAGGTCCTGCTTTATTAGCATAATATTTGAAACAAATTTGAATTTGAAAGCTTTTAGAGGAAGAGTGCCCTCTTCAGATCATCAGTGATCCTATTGCTCTCCCCATTGTTTTTCACTTCCTGGCCTCTATGGGCCCGTTAATCAATAGTCATTGGGCTAGTTATATATAAGGTATTATTTTTTATGGTTTATTTTTTTTCTTGAAGGTTTGTGGAAGATAAAATGTGGGTCACATTTTTGGAGGGAAGCTCTGCCTTGAGTGTTCTGAACCTAAATGGTAAAGAGGTAAGGTAGCATTTGTTGATTCTAAACCATTTTGAAATAAGGTATCTGAAGATTATGTTTTTATAGACATGCAGCGAAATCGTCTAAATGTATTTCCAGTGCAAAGCCTTATGGTGTGTTTTAATATTTATTACTTAGACTAGGTTTCTGACTGGCTTGGAATTACTTTGATCCTCCCTAAAGATACTAACCACTGGTAAGAGACTAAGAAGAAAACGTGTTTACCACCTAATTGGATTTTTATTATATGGAAACTTTATTAATTGAG